GGTTGCCTTTTTGCAAGCAAAATATAAAGGATTCCACACAGGAAAAGAAATAATATTTATTATATCTATTTGAAATATTTCTTAGGTGCTTTTCAAGACAAGAGCCCATTCCAAGTCAACATAACACAATAAAACAATAAAATCCAAGGCAGTTTTAAAATAATAAAAGCACAATAAAAACAGCCACAAGAACAAATGGATCAGGAGAAGGCTGGAATAATGCTTTTTAGGGCCTTTTTAAAAGTTTGCAACAATGGAGCCAACAATAGTCCCTGATTGCAATTTATTCAAGAGGTGTGGGGCCACTACAGAAAAGACACTTTCCCAAGTGAATTTCCACATAACCATGCTCACAGGTGAGCAAATGAGAAGGGCTTCTCTTGTTGATCTTAAAGTGTGGGAAGGCTGATACAGGTACAGATCATCCCTCACACAGTTTGTTCCCAAACTGTTTAAGGCTCTAGTGATCAGTGTACCTGGCACATAGTAGGCATTCTATAATCAGATCATAATAGAATGATCCAACACTCGAGCAATCTCATTCTGCACCAGCTGAAGTGTCTTAAAATGCAGCCCCAATGCAGTACATTACAGACCCAGAAGTCCCTGTTGCATAGATAAGCAAGTGAATACCCATTCTATCCAGATAGGGCCACAGCTGGCATACAAGCTTAGTCACTGCAGCTGCCTGGGCTTCCCCAGTTAGCATAGAGTTCAGAAAGACTCCTTGACTGTGCATTTAGGGAGGATGAAACCCCATTTAGGACTAATTGTAAATTTCCATCTAAAATAATTGGTTTCCCAGTCCACAGTAACTCCATCTTGTCTGCATGAAGTTTCAGTTTAATTACCTTCGGCTACCCTGCCTCCAGGCTGAAGCTGAATAACCTCCAGGGTTGTATAAATGGAGAATGGTAGAGCTGAATATCATCAATTCAATAATACCTGATCTAAATCATTCTAATGACTTCTGCCAGTGATTTCATATACTGTTAAAAACATGGGAGACATAATGGAACCTTGTGTCATGCCAAGGCTTTGCAAGAAAGTTATGCATACATATAAGGGCTGATATGTATAAAACTTGTAATGGAAAACATAATGGAAAACTTTTCTGAAACTTGTAATGGAAAATGTCTTCTTGCCTCTTAGAGACTAGAATAGAGTCTTCATATTCAAAGTCCAGATTCATGTTACTGGTTCTGGAAATGTAACAGGATAGGTATATTTAGCAGCATGGTAATGGGGAGCAATTATTCTTGTATCCCTTTTCAGGATCTTTCCAACTCGGAATAGGGTGATTTTTTTTAAATCCAGCAAAAAGTATAAAAGGACAAGGGACAGGTTAACACACGACTATGCAAAAATATCATGTTTATGAAGGATCTCAAATGACAGCTGTAAGGGAGAAAAACTGCATGGCTCCAAGTCTGTAGTTCAGATGCTGCTAGGAACCTTCATTAATAAGGTTTGGGCCTCACTTCCATGAGATGGAATAACGTTGATGTGGCAGAATACCATTTCATGAAGCTCAAGGGAATCATTTTTAATGGTCCCCTATATTAAAAGAAACTCTTTGTAAAGCAAAAACAGCACAACTGTCAAAAGAGTGGGCTAGAACCCCTTTCCCTGATGTAATTGTTTTCTTTTTGGTGGTATCCCTGGCATGAACACAATACTCCTATGAATGGAGAGAAAAACTAGGTCCCAAAGCTGTGTGTTTATATAGTACCTTCTCAGTTTTCTCTGAGTACTCTTGTTAACTTAAAACATTTGATGGAACTGTTGGATACTGATGTATGGAATTATCTTATAAATGCAACAGCCTGATGAATTCTGTCTTTTGATTCGATGACTTTGTCTGTGAGCACAGGTATCACTATCTAAAATGTGACTCTGCTATAAACTGCCAGCTCAACTAGCATGTGAAGCCGAGCATAAACTAAATAATAAACAGATGTGAGTCACCAAATATAGAACATTCAAGTTCTCGTTGCAATGGGACACAAATGTGATGATAGGGTATTAACGGAAAGATGCAATTTACAGGTCAGAATGTAATAGTAACCTTTCACTGTGAAAATTGAAAATTAACCTTTGGAGTATTGGATCATTTGCAGCTAATATAGTAGGCTTTTTAGGCAAACATTTAAAAGCTTTTCTTGTTGTGTATCTAAAAATGACATTTTAGAGTGTATTAATTTTGCTCTGTCTCTCTTGTACGAGTAGCATTCTTTTCATCATGTTGCAATGTACCAATACTTATACTAATACCTAAAGCCATGAAATATCCTGCCACATATTTTTCATATATGTCTGGCCTTTCTTTCTAGCATGTTCAAACAAACCTAATTCATGAATTACTATGGAATGAATTCTTTCTCAAGTTTTCACCAAGGTCTTCCATATCCTGATAACATATTTAGTAACCTTTGTTGAAGGCAAGTCAGTGATCTGGGGCATAGGCAGCAGCGCACCTCCTTAAAAAGCTGGTGGGAAACTGCTTCATAGCACTATTGTTAAATTTATCTTGCTTTCCATGCCATCTTTATCCCATTTGGATTATGGAGTTCCCAGAGGGCCACACTTAGCATATGAACAAGCTACATTTGGATGTTCTATAGACACATTTTTTTTCCAGAAAATTTTTTTTGAAGAATTGAGAGTGTGTGGCAGGAGCCTTGACAGATGTTGAGACTGCAACATGTTGCCACCTGCTGCATGTTGCTCACCTCTGCTTTATAAATTAGCAGTTGGTGTTCAGATTGCAGTAGAAGGTGTGTCCAGTCAAGACATCAGTTTACACACCTGCGATGTCTATACATTCTGAGAGTTTTGGAGTGAATTATTACTCAGGTGGACAACCTTTGCCTGTAGACACATGTATAAATTTGAGAAACTTCCCTGGGTACAATCAAAAGCAGGCTTCCAGACAATGGGTATGGCTAGTCATAAAGGACACTTAATCTGAGCAGAGACATTCATGGGAAATAAAGTTTGCAGCAGCTGGAAGCTTCCACTTTTCCTTGAAACAAGCCCAAATTCCAGGAAGAAAATAAATTGGACAGAGGAAGATTTCTTGCTGGGCACCAAGGCAGGTGCCTGTGGGCACCACATTCCTTACTCCTGCATTACTGGTTATGTTGTCCCTCCCCACCAGCCACCATATAGTTGATTGTGAACTTCTCTGCTAACTACTGAAATTGGATTAGTTTCCTTGTGGCTGCGGGTACTTTTAATGCCATTAATTTAAGAATATTTTACCTATTCTGAATCTTCTGGGAAGAGCAAGTTAAGGTTACATATAGAAAAGATGAAATCAAATAAAGTTATCAACAATGCAAACAAAACTAACACTTTAAAATATGTAAGAGATTAAAATGTTTTGAAATGACTGAATAAAAGTATTTGCCTGGCACCTAGAAGACAACAAAAATGCCAGAAATGACTCTTTGGCTTTTCTCCTAGTAGTGATAAGCCTCACCTTCAGTGGGCATAGTATTTGGAGAAGGACATCAGTAGATTAGTTTACAATACATGCAGGTTGATATGCAAATATGAAGTCTCAACTTTGATCCCATGGGCTGCACACTGAGTATCATCCATGGCTTCCAGTGAATGCAAAGCAGCCATCTGGTCCATCTGCTCATACATTCATCAACCTTATATTAAGACTGGTTCACAAATGCAACCCCCACTTACATTCTACTTGCAGTTGTTTATACAAATGAATAATTACCTGAAGAAATATGATAGTGTGAGCCAGGCAGCACACAGATGGTTGGGAGTGATTTCTGTGGTTTGTGCTGTCTCAGCCTGGTGTTTGAATTAACATTTTCTTACATGGTTGTGTACATCTGTACATGACTACATGCAGGTAAGTGTTACTTGCATGTGTGAACCATAACACTAGCAGGGAAGCAGTGGTTGAAAGGACAACATTGCCTTGATTTATTATTGCCATTGTTTTGGATACTGCCTATTAGTTTGCTTGCTGTCTAATCAGCATATGCAGATGTTGTGAAGAGGGAAATACTTGCTTTCTCTAATCTCTTAAGTGTTTTTGTATAAACACAAGAACTCATCTTTCTCAGCTGTAGTAGCTTTAAAAGCAGAGCACATATGAATTCACCAGAATTTGAAAGAAATTGAGAAGGGAAGGTAAACCATGTGAGGATCCTTCAGTCAGGATCTTGCTGCTTTCTGTTTTCTGTTGTATATGTTGCATGTAAATACTTCTTTTAGTTATTTCTTTATGAAGAATGTTTGATCAAATATCTGTTCTTTGCGCTTTTCCTCTGCAAAGTCACTCGTGTTTGATAGCACCCATGCAAAATAAAAAGTAAGCAAAGGATTTAGGGTACTGTTAAACAGAACATGTCATCAGTCTGTTTTTATATCTGTTCCCATTTGGCTCATGTGGTATTAGAAATCATATTTGCTGTGAATTACAGAAAAGCATCCATGTTTTGGCTCAGTGTCACACTAAACCAGCTATAGCTAATTTGTTTTTTTAAAAAGTCTGCTCGTGCCAAGGTTTTTTTTCCTTGTAATTAGGATGAAATTGAATCTCTTTTATGCATGCTTTTTATTGCAATTTTTGTAAGGACACAAGGGCTTCTATCATAAGAACTCTTCTTGGTAGATTGATGAATTGCTGCCTGTATTTTGCATATTATACATTGTATTTCCTTTGCCTATCCCCTCTTTTTATCTGTTGTTGTTGGTTGACTAATATATTTCAGTTGCCATTCCTTCTATCAGCTCCAAACTATGGTCAACAAAGCTATTTGAAAAGTTTATACTGAACCTCAACATCTGCTTATTGTCATTCTTAAGGATTTGTTAGACAAAACATGTCATCAGTCTGTTAGATTATGTCAGCTCTACGTGCTAGATAAACTATTTAAGTTTTCAAACATTGAACAATGAATTGTTTGCATTCAATTTGATTTGCAGTTGGTAATATTAACAATCAAAACTTTTGCATCTCTGTCTAGGTTGCTCTGGTGCAATGGACTGAAAGTGTTGGTCTTACTTTGGTGAACAGGGATTTGACTTCAATGCAGCTGAAAACCCCCAGTGGACAGATTCTGACATACTATATTCTGCAAATTTTCCCTTTTACCTCAGAGAGCAAACGAATGGGAATCATAGTGAGGGTATGCTTGATTAACTATTTTTTCTTGTTCTTGTTTGAAGGTTGTATATTTAAAGTGTGTCTTTTTTAAAATGTGCATAACTTATCAAAGTTGGCAAACAGTGCTACTAATACATACACATTTTGCCAAATGCAATTTCTTCGAAGTAATAATTCACTGAAGTAAAAATTTAAGACTAAAGGGATAGTGATGCAACCTACTTCCCAGTTGATTTTTCATATTTCTATGGTTTACAAATTGCTTTATTTTCCTAAATTTTAGAAATTTATCTGCTAGGAGTTGAAATTTGTGTCTAAGAAATATTCTATACCAAGTGGCCAGACTTACTTAAGAGGAGAGCAGCTTACAGTTCTGTACCATGGTCAATGGCCATGATATTTCTGGATTGTGCCCTTGTTTGTTCTGGTTTGTTTTTAGGATGAATCTACAGGTGAAATCACCTTTTACATGAAAGGTGCAGATGTTGCAATGTCTTCCATCGTTCAGTATAATGACTGGCTAGAAGAAGAGGTAGGAAATCTTACTGTTCATCTTGAGCAAAAAAGTAAATGTTTTACTCTGCCATGCAAAATTGTAGAACTATGAACAGAAGGCAAAATACTAATCTCTATCATTTGTCTATTTTGGAGATAGCAATAATGAACCAACAAATAATAGCTTCTAAAAAGCAATTAAGTATAGCACTAATAGGTTTTAAAGAGTTACGTTAGTCTTTGAATTTTGTATTATATTAAAAGAAAATGAAAGCTTCTTGTTTATGACAAGAGTGACACTATTTTAAAAAATCTTAATGTATTTACTATCTGTTCCAGAACAAATAAACCAATAGGCTGAGATCACACCCCAGTTCCTGGGTGTTCTGTTATGTTACGTTGGATAATGCAGACATAACTGGCATTTAAATTATTTCAGAATTTTATTGTAAAATAGATGTGTTTGCACAAACTAAATATAATGTATTGTGTTGCTGTGCTAGACACAAGCAGTTGTCTTAATTTGACCTTACATATAGACAATATGGTAATGTGATGATCACACAATGCATGTTCATAATGGCATTGGCAATATAAATCAATACCTGCTTCAGGCAGTTTGATTTAATCAGGGACATGAATAAATTAAATTCCCTGAAGACCTAATAAAGTGTCATAAAAATTACTTTTGGTGATAATGATGCACAATTAATTGTAAAATACTTGCTTAATTTGTTTAGTATTATGAGGTCAAATCAATAAATGTTTTGCACTGGACAGACAGCAGCACACTTTTTCTGGAATAATTAATATTTCATGTTTATATTATTTTTAAATACCAGTGTTTTAAGTTACTCAAATTAGCTTGGTACCGGTTCATATTTATATTAAAATAGTAGTCATAGGCCAATGACACTTGCATATGTCAGCATAAAAACTTATTTTAAAACCAGATTTAAAGGGAGTGAGGGGAATGTGGTAATTAAGTGAAATGATAGAAAACTCATGCGAAGCTCTAAGGGGTTTTCTGTTACATCTTCAGTTCAGAACTTTCATTATTCTACATGGGAGCTTATTGGAATCAGAAATATTGTATTCCCTTTATTATAGTGTATTAACTTCTTTGAAGTTTGCTTGTTTTTCCAAAAATTATTTCATATACATTTCCTTAATATATTTCTACCCTTCTTTTAAGACTGCATAAAATAGAAATGTGAAGAGGAAAACATTGATGAGAATGATCTTATGCTCCCAAGAGAGCACCCCAGAGATCATGGGGTACTTTGAAGCCCACCTATTCCCAAGGCTGTAGACACTGTTATACCCTTGGAAGGGGGACCCTACCTCCTCACAGCTACTATGCAAAGTACTGTGCCAGCTCCTTTCTGAAAATGCAAAAGTGGTCTCAAAGGACCTCAGAGAAAGTGTTTTGGGGGAGGTGAAAGGAGAGGCCATTATATGATTATTAACTCCAACCTTTACCGCAGTCTCACTCCTAGCAGGATGACTACTGTAGACAGCCTCAGAGGCCAATCTAGAAGAAACTGTACAAGCTGGAGGATAGAAAGGCAATGTTTCAGTTTCTCTTCTTGCCCTGTTAGCAGCAGCCTGGTAGGGTATTTAATACTTCGAAGTCCCTGAAATCAGAGGCATCCCTCTAATGAAAGTGCAATCCATAGAGTTGTATTCTGAACATAATAAAAGTTATAAGAGGACAGCATTAAGTCCAAGAACTACTTAGTAGACAAAAAGAAGTATTAGGGGCTCCTTGAAAGTCACAAGGTAAGAGAAGAAGACAAGGGGCAGTTAAGGGATCCTACAAGAAAGTGGCTTTGTCCCTGATACCCATGAGCCTGATTGACCATAAGGCCGAGCTTGAGACGAGGGTCTCTGAGGCTTTTCTTAGACCCTGGGAAAATTAATGGCAGCACTGGCAATACTCTAGATAACCTGGTCGCAAACTGTTCAGGGCTTTAAAATATGATTGGTGCTAGGGCTTTAAAATGAGTTTGAAAACTTATGGTAATCCGTGAAGTGATGTAAACTTGGTGCAAAAACCATCAAACTCCCAAGCTCCATAAGCATTCTGGTGGCTGAATTCTTCACCAGCTGAAGCTTCTGTACTGTCAGTTAAAAGCAGCACTTTTCTCTTTCAAGTACCTCTGTTATAGCCTGAATATAAGTGAAATGTATAACTGACACCTAGTCTAATTCCTCTAGATACAGTCACAGTTGGAAAATCAGCTGGTAAAAACACTCATAGCCACTGAAGTTAACCCATAGTCAATAGCATTTATCTGAATTAAGTTTCAGTTAGTTCTCCCTCACCCAACCAAAACCATCTCCCAATTTATCTATCCACCCAGATTAGTAGAAGGAATCATGAAGTAAAGTATGTGTTTCCTCTGTGTACCAGTATAGCCCAGACCTCCTGATAACTTTTCCCACTGGTTTCATGCAAATGTTACAAATCATGAGAAACAAACTAGAACCCTTAGATACCCTAGAAACCATGGGATAGAATATCTCTCAAAATCAGTTTCTGGACCCATCCCTCCAGAAGAGTCCACAGCTACTGCAACATTTGCTGGAAATGGTCAAGAAGGGGCCAAGAGTGAAGAAGCTGCATCAAATTTTAGTAGATATTGCCTGGGCAGATGCAGGAATGCTGCTTCTTGCAGCAGCCATACAGTTCCCTTAATGTCTACTTCTAGACTGTGTAGAGAGTGCTTATACACTGATACTTCATTTGTGACATCAGAGCTAACTAAATCTGAACTAAGATGAATGAGCCTCTTACGCCTGTCAAGACATTTCTACATGATTCATAGCATGAACTGTTGTATACCACCCAGAGAACTTCAGCTGTTGATCGGTATAGAAATGAAATAAATGTTTCATTATATTTAAAATTTTAGTGTGGTAATATGGCAAGAGAAGGACTGCGCACTCTGGTTGTTGCCAAAAAATCATTAACAGAAGAACAGTACCAGGATTTTGAGGTAAAAAAATTAACAAAACAGTACTGAAAAGTATGCACTATACTGATTCTGCATGCTACTCTGAATTTAACACAAAAAAGCTCACCATGGATCCAAATATGTTAGCTAATGCAAACAAATCTAACAGAAAATTCCTATTTTAAAAGCTGTATCTGTGAACATCATGTATAAGCTCTCTTTAATGTACACTCATAATGGTGAGCTCCTGATTAGCTTTAAAATTCAGCTGGACTTCACAAGTTTTCTGCAAGAGTACTCTTGGAATAGCTTGAAAAAAATCCAAGAACACTTGTAAAGTCCCAGGGAGTTCCTTTCCAGCCTTCCAGTTTCACTGATATTACAACCTGTCACCTTCCCAAACATACCTTGTAAATTGGAGGAATAAACTGGTATCAAGGAAAGCCAGGTCAGTGGAAGCTTCCACTGTTAAGTTATCAGGCTTTCCAGCAGAAATGGAACTGTTTGTCACTGCTGGGAATCCTGGAAACTGTTCAACAAAAGGAAATAAAAAGATCCCTCCTGAATCAGACCAAAGGCCTGTCTAGTGCATCATTATGTGCCCACAGTGGTGAAGCAGATGGCTAATCATTTGAACTAAGAAGAACTGAAAATTACACTTTCTACTATTACACTTACCTGACATACTAATGTTCATATTGCAGTCCTGCCTTTATAGGTCTGTTGGATTGTGGGTGCTTTCATAAATGTTTTATGTGTGCTTTTGAGTTGCATCATTATTATCTAATCGGACTGGCAGGATCTTTCCATAGCCTTATGCAGTGAGCTTCCCAAAATCTGGAAACCATTAACTGGAGATGCTGGAGGTTAAATCTGGACCATTTATACATGTAAAGTATATGATGTGTCACTGAGTTGCAGCCCCTCCCTCCCTTGTTAAAGTTTGATTTGCTTTAGTCAACAAGAGCCCAAAAGGTATCTCTAACCCAGTAATAGTTTATAAGTCAGGTGAGGGGAGGATTTGCTCCAGAAACTTTTTCTATGTTGGTGCTTTTATCAGCTTTTTAATCACAGCAAAGAAATAGTTATCATCTGTGGGTACACCTCCTATCATGATGCATTACTCACACAAGTTAGATCTCTCAAGTGAGACAAAAATCATAAGTGGAACTTGAAAGCTTGAAAGATACAAACCTAGCTCATTTCGACGATTTTGATTAGCCTCTGGTCTTAGTCTTCAGCATTATCATGTTTTCTTATTCCCAGGAACTGCATTTTAGGTGAAGCCTGCATCTCATGATGGTTTGTATAGTGCTGTAGTTATTGCATTTTGCACCGCTTTTTTCTATTCAGTTATGATGTAACTCATAATTGTCAACAAGTATTAGAATGTTAAGAATATCTTCTATATACAAGGCCACAAATTAGATTTTGTTTTGTCTTGTTGCAAGTAGAATAGATACAACCAAGCAAAATTAAGTATACATGACAGAACCCTTAAGGTGGCCGCAGTTGTGGAGAGTTTGGAAAGAGAAATGGAATTGTTATGTCTCACTGGAGTTGAAGATCAGCTACAAGCTGATGTTCGGCCTACTCTGGAGATGCTACGAAATGCTGGAATAAAGGTAACCTTTTCTTCTTTCTTTGTCAGACTGCGAATTTGTTTCTTTACCTTTGTAGTCTTTGTATGCTATATTTTTTGCCATAGGAAACTAAGGAAACAATGCCTTACCATGAAAGAAGTAAAAGAAGCAAGGAGTATTTGAATATTGGGCACCTTCTTGCAAAATGGACAGCAGAACTTTAACACACAGAGCAAAACAGAAAGAGCAGCTTAGCACACATCAGGTTTTACCAGCCCCACATAGATACAGTGGCTACTACATGGTCCTGTGTGAAATAATCCATCAAAGTTGCCATGTTCAGATCTGCTTGTGTGTACAGGGGTCACTGCACAAAGAAATATCTAGAGCAGCTTTCCTAAACCTGGTGCCCTCTATATGTTTTATACTACAAGTCCTGTCTTCCCTGATCATTAGCCGTGTTAGCTGGTATTAATAAGAGCTGTAATTTGAAATATCTGAAGAATACTTGGTTGGGGAAGGGTGCCATAAAGTTTAGATAGGAGAGGCATAGGAAATTGTGGCAAGACTGATGGTCATGTGCAGATACTAACCATTTTAGGACTTGCCAGTTGCAGAGCTTTATATCTGGGTACAAGTTTCACCTTTAGCATCATCGCACTGGCTGTTCCTAGGTTAGCTGCTTATTATTTCAGCCTTAGCCCATGTCAGCAGTACTGGGATAACAAGGCTGACAGGGCTATAAAAGTGTTTAATGAAATTATATGCATTAAAGTATTTTGATCAGTAATATTATGATGCAGAAGGTAAAATTGTGCAACAAAAAACCATGTAGGGACATAGAAAGTTGTGGCAATATAATGTACTCTTCCCATCATCCTCATCCTGATGGATACCCCTAAAAGCATCCACTTTTGAATGGACATAGAAATTGTCTGAGCTATTCATTCTTAGGAGAAAACTGAGAGATAATGTTCTTTTATAACCTGATTTCTGGGGATGCTACTCAGCTAGAGAAAACTCTGTCTCTTTGAGCTTACAGACAGATGGGGCAGGTGATTGCAGATGAAGCAGGATCGAGCCATTGCATTTCTCTGCTGTGGGAGGTATTCATAATCGTAGCTCACTGTTTCCATAAAGCTAAGGAAATGATTAGCATGGGAGTGATAGAAATCACTCTATAGTGATTTAAATTTTTCCTCAATTTTCAAGAGTGCAATTCTGACCTGCTTGCTGTCATGTTAGGCAATCCCTTTCTGGCTGCGTAGAGCCCTAACAGCTGGGCTGCACACCTCCTCCCAAGCCTGAAACTTAAAAAACGTAAGAGGAATTTCATGTGGTAGTTATTGAACAGGATGCTAAGGATGTGTCTTAGAAAATGTGTGTTTCTGAGTAACAGACAATCAGTTAAAAACCTAAACTAACTCTCAAATTACTTCATAGATATGGATGCTAACAGGAGATAAATTAGAGACTGCCACTTGTATTGCAAAAAGCTCCCACTTAGTATCCAGAGCACAGGATATTCATATCTTCAGACCTGTAAGTATAACTACCAATACTTTATATTTCTCATCACCCTACAGCAGTCTTAATTGATAGTGGTGTGACATGTTCATTAAATGGTATAGCCACTGAATATATATGAATGAATGAATCCCATTGTAGTATTAATTAAAACAATTCAGTTTGTCTCCTATTGATGTAGCCTCTGCAGGTCCAATCCTTTGTTGATATACAAACATACACCAGTGAATGTGTGCAAGTTATTGATATCATGAAGTACAGAAAGCAAATCAAAGCAGGGAACTTAGTTTGCAACTGATGAAGTGATCAGTGTCCATTAAAGCATATACCTTAATACATTTATTTGGTTTCAAGATACTCAAAGCCTCCTTGTTTTTTTCTGCAACAAACTAACTAGCCTACATGTAGAAATTAGGTCACCTAAAGAAGTGTACATTATATACTCTCCTTATTCCATCTTGAACCCACATGTTAAACTAAAGTAAAGCCAGATGATGGCTTTCCAATTACACTGAGAATGTCTAGAGAACTTTTCCCCTTAAATTTAGTTTTAATTAAACAATATGTGGGAGAGCTGCTTGTGATTCTCCCAACTTCTCTTCCTTTTCAAACGAGCTGAGAAGCAAATTGGATTTAGGTCATGGAGCTGAGAGAGGGAACCTTTAACCCATCTTCCCATACCATTTTCCTGATCTAGACATACTGTTACAAACATCCACACATAACTGGATTATTTTCTTGCATCTTTTACTGAGAACTTGCATCTTTTACTGAGAAAGATAATTGATATCAAAATCAGTGTATGTCTGAGCTTAAACCCTGTCTGTTTTATAGGTAGTCACATCTATATGTGTTTTTAAAAGAAACTTGGCAAAACCCTGTCACTGATCTCCTGCATTTCATTTTATTTGGCCCCTCATGTTTTTCGAACAGAAAATAGATTTTTTTAAGGAATGGTGTATTAGCAAGTCATGCTAAGCTGTTAACACGAAATGATTCACCTAACTTGTAGCTTGCAGCTATCAATTTTTAATTACCATGGCATGGCAAAAATAATGCAGACTTGCTCTGTTTCCAAGCTGGTTTTGATCTTTACAGCCCTAAATGGTTTGGGGCTAGGATATTATTCTGATGATCTACACTTTTATGTAGATGTGATTCCCATTACTTCCATGCCTAATGTGAATAAACTCTTGAATTACACCCATGCTAATTCATTCACAAATAAATTCAAATACTTCAAAAGTCAAACTTCCAAATGTTAAACCTGCAGCTTTCTTTTACAAATAAAATTAGCTTTGATCTCAAGTGTTTTTATTTATAAATTTACTGACAAGCTGAATACCTTGATATGTATTTGTAATTTGACATGTTAGTAGTACTGAATTTTGAAAAAAAAAAGTTTCCCAGTCTTTGAGTAATCAGACATTAGTCTGTCTGCATTCTAAATGAGCTTCTTGCACTCACAGAAATAATTATTTGAATATAATTTGCATGCAAATGTAATTTGTTCTGAAACATCAGAATGGCAAATTAGGCCCTGAAGACTTGTATTTGCCGCAAAATTAATAATGGTTCTGACAGTATTTAAAATCAATTATTGTTGATCCTTCCAAGTTGTATCACTGAAATTTCCCAACCAAAACTATTTTGAGTTAGATTTCAATTTTAATTATGACATTAGTTTAATAGATTAACCCAGAAAGTGTTTCCACTTGGAAAATGTTATTTATTAGTGAAGCAAATGAGAAGGGAGGCACAAATGGAAAGGAAGGAAACAAAAAGGAAAAAATTACGATAAATCCCAAGTTCCAATGAAAAGTTTTATTGTTGCTCTAGTTTTCATCATCTTTTTGACTTTGCTTCCTTATTAATGAATCAGACAATAGAATTCCACAAAGCTATCTTGCTACAGATTATTTTAGTTTAAAAACAATATTCAAAGAAGAGTTACCCAACGTTTATAGTATTTTAAATATTTTCATTAGAAGACTGTGTAGTTTGTCAACAATTTCCCATCCATGCTTCATCAGAACAAGTACTACTGATTACTCTCAAGTAAATGTATATAGAATTTCAGTCTTCATTTTTCATTTACCAACACCGTCAATTCTGTATAACTGAACCCTCTGATATGAAGCTAGAGGACTCAGTCCCATACTCAGTTGATTCATGAAGAGTACAAATGGCTTTCAGAAAGCATGAAAAAAGGGCTGAATGAAGGAACCTTCTGCTTTCTGCAGGGCTTTCAGGCACTGCCTGGACACGTATTCTTTATTTATTTTTCTGATTTATATCCTGCCTTTTTCCTACAAAGGGCTCAAGGCAGCTTACATCATTCTCCTCCTCCATCTTATCCCCACAACAACAACCCTGTGAGGTAGGTTGGGCTGAGAGTCTGTGACTAGCCCAAAGTCACCCAGTTGGCTCCATGGCTGAGCAGGGACTAGAACCCAGATCGTCTGAGTCCCAGTCCCAGGCTCTTAACCACTGCACCACACTGGCTTTCAGTATTCTTGTGCTGGGGATGTGAGGGAAACAATGCTCTGTTGAACCCAGTAGTTGAATTGCACCAATGCGGAACTGGATCAAGCCATAAAATATTTTGATGAGTTTCACATGCATTTTATTACATCAATTTCCTTAATTTTGGAAGTGTCCAAAACTGCAGTACTTTGGTCCATAACACATTTTATATCACAGTGTCTTAGTTCAAATATAACCAGAATATCAACTGCAGTGAGCTTTGAACACACATTCTCCCTCTTCCCCTCTCGTCCTCAGTGTATGAGGCTTCTACCCTTGGAGTTCTCAGGACATAAATGCATGCACTTTCTCTGGCCATGCTCCTTGCATCCATTCCAGTTGGAGAATCCTGATGCAGAACACATGATCTAGACCCAGTAATACATTTTGCATCTTCTATAAAAGCACTGGCATTTGGCAGACCAATATTTAGAGCTAGGAGAATGAGCTGTAGCTTGTGCAGTCCCTCCTCCCCACCACCACTCCTTCATGTTAGGTTAGAGTTAGGGAATGTTTTAAAATATGTGAGTAAATGAGGGCTATGCCATGAAAACCAAAGACTTGCAGTGAAAACTAAAGGTTGTCTCAGGAGTTAAGTTTTTCAGTCTTTGTCCCAGTTAACACAAAGTTAACTGTAGGAAAGTTGGGGCAGGGAAGTAGGAGGAATTCCTTTACGGTAAATAGTAGTTGTATATCTATATAAATATATTGAACAGTTCTACCTTGAACTTTTTGCATGTGTCCTTTTTATTAAGGTAACAAATCGTGGAGAAGCTCATTTGGAGCTAAACGCATTCAGAAGAAAACATGACTGTGCTTTGGTAATATCTGGGGACTCTCTGGAGGTAAGGCCCTGGCCCATGTCAGTTGACAGCACTGTTAATGGAACTGTAAAAATGATTAAGCATGTTTTTCAGCAGACAATGAAAAGAGGACCCAAGAACACCTTTGGGTGAAATGAGTCTGCAATTTGTTTTACATCATATAACACCTAATACTATAAATCCAAAATTAAGTAACAGTTACCAGGTATTTCTTTTGTCTGATGCCATAGTCCTCTCACCAAAAGTACTTGGTCATCATTTTTCTCCCTACTGCAGCCAAGAGGAAGCTGCCATGAATGGCTCTGGTATTTTTGCAATTTCTCGCACCTACTAACAAAAAAGAAAGCCCTTCTGAGGCTTGTTTGGAAGCTGTCAGTTACAGCGTAACCAAGGCATTGTTAGAAAAGCCCTTATAGGTGCATTCTTGCCAGAATGCCTGGCCTATCTGTTGATCACCAACAGTTACGCTGGCTCCTATGTAACCTGGAAGAGAGGAATTTCATCCTCGCTAACAGTCCAATACAACTTTACCCAGTTTTACCCATTCATCAACTGCTTTTGCAGAAAGCAAGAAGTAAAAAAAACTAAGGTACATCTAGATGTGCCATACCAGGGCACAATTGAGGACAGGACAACTTTGTTACCTCTAAAACAAGATGCAATCAAAAAGTCTTAACTCTTAAGCCTCTTACTCATTATTTGCCTTGAAATGATCAGGGTTTTATACTACAGCAAGGATTCAAAGGCCCTACTTCAAGAGTTCTGCTTTTTGTTTTCATCACAGCAATGTCCATTCCTGAACAAACAAACAAACAAACAAACTGCTTTTTACATTTCACAATAACTTGACTCTTCAGCAGGGGAAATTTGCACCCTACTGCATCTTGTGTCTTTAGATTCTGGTCACAACCCACAGTCCATGTATGAATAGGTTATCTGGGACAGGGTAATTTCATGAGAGCTGAAAACCAGTTATGCTTCCTTGGTCCATTACCCCCTAAGCAGTGATCAGAAGGATAATCCAAAAACGTAGTTTGCACAGTGCTGAAAGGGTCATATTTGGAAGTGAAATTTAACTCTTTCAGTGCTCTGCAGCAGATATGAACACAAAGGTTTCTCCCAGTATGCCCCAGTTTCAGCAGGGGATCACAGGCCATACGTGGGCTGCAGGCAGGAAAATAGTATTGAAATGACCCTGACTGCTTGCCTCATGTTGCCTAAGCTAAAACTACTTCTGAACTTTTACTGAATGCTGAATCTCCTCCAAATTTAAATTCATTTCTTTTTGTAGGTCTGTCTGAAGTACTACGAGCATGAATTTGTAGAGCTCGCATGTCAGTGTCCGGCTGTAGTATGTTGCCGATGTTCTCCCACACAAAAAGCCCATATTGTAAAATTGTTGCAGCAACACACAGGAAAACGTACCTGTGCCATAGGTAAGTATCAATCCTGGTTTCATTCCTACTGGCAAACTAAGGAGATATTTGACCTCTCAATTACAATAATGAAAAATAAGTTGGAAATGGTTAGTGTGATGATGGTGTGACATACTTTTTGAACCATATTGATAATTTAATCCAGCCTTTTATTTACTGGGGTTTTTCAATACTTTTACAAAAATGAATCAATAACAATTGCAGCTTAGAAGATGCTCACTAGTCAGCATCCAAACTATCCAATATAGTTCATTTATAACAGTCCGTACCACATGCATAGCCCAAATACAAACTGTTAGTTTTTCCTTAATTGGTTTTGTCATATGTCACACTTGTTATAACTCAGGTTCTAGTAAGATAATACTGTTTCATGTGTCAAAGAGTTGGATTTTAAGCCCTCATGCATGCACAGGTACCCAAGACAGAGTGTCCACACCAAAAATAGTCTGCTAGTTCAAGCCGTTAAGTGAATCTGTCCATAATAGCAATATAACAGGGTTTGGCTACAGTCCAGCAGAGAATTTGGCATGCTTCAGCACAATTAAATTGATGGGCTTTAGTGACCCTGGTTTGCAGCACTGAAATAGCAATGCTCTTTTGTTGTTTTTATTCAGAATTTTTATAAGCACTGCTTTTACAGCCATCAATACCAGTTCACCAATTCTTTTTGTCCACATAGATACTGGGACCAGAAATGGTTGTAGTAAGAGATGTAGAGTTACTTATAACTTGTCTGATATTGGTTTTGCATTCCTAAAATTCGCTTTACCCTAAAAGCTGATTAAGATAACTGATATACAAATTAACATAAAACTAAATTCAGTTAATAAATGTTAAAAGTTTGACAAACTCATCTAAAACATGCCTGGATGTTTCATCTTTTTTAGGTGATGGAGGAAATGATGTCAGTATGATCCAGGCAGCAGACTGTGGAATTGGAATTGAAGGAAAGGTATAATGTTTGCAGTTTAGATTAAATGTGCTCTTAACAATAATATATTATAATCCATCAGTTAATGTGGTAGACAACAGAAGAGATCAGTGTCAGCTGACTTTAACTCACCCAAAAGCTTTCCTCTTCCTCTCCCATGTCCCCCAAATCTTGTCTGAATGGTTCTCCAACCCTGTGGAACCGACATTTGGTGGTTCAAGGAGCTGAAGGGGTAATGTTCTCCATTCTGCTGACAAAAGCCATTTTCTGTTCCAGTGATGTTGGAAGGAACCAATCAGATAAATCCCAATCTATGTGCACAGAGTAAACATGATGTGTTGCAATAGCAGTGTTGTGTATTGTGCATTAAAAAATTGCTTCAGTTTTCAGAATTGAAAATGCTTGTTGATTTCCTGTTGATATACCATTTTCTAAGATGATATTTTATGCAATGCCGATGGTTTTACTTTGCTATTTTATTTCTTTAGGAAGGGAAACAAGCTTCCTTGGCTGCTGATTTTTCCATTACACAGTTTAAGCATATTGGCAGGTTGTTGATGGTACATGGTCGAAATAGTTATAAAAGATCAGCAGCACTTGGTCAGTTTGTCATGCACAGAGGCCTTATTATTTCAACTATGCAGGTATTTAATTTTTTTCTTTAAATAAATAATAGCTTAGAGTTTTTTATTCTATATGTTTAAATAAGTTCTGCAGTTCCATATTGTCCCTTATAATCTTGATATCATTTGCTCTGTTCTTTCTCTAGGCTGTGTTTTCTTCAGTCTTCTATTTTGCATCTGTTCCTCTATACCAGGGTTTCCTAATGGTAGGGTAAGTACGATATAGTTATTTGAAAACTCTCCCAGAGGTGTTTTGTGTTTTCATTTCTAAGACCATCAGATTGACTAATATTTGTTAATTCATATACTAATGAGATGATATGTAACATTCATGAAGTGGCCAGCAGAAGCCATCCTAATTTTAGATAGAAAGCAGCGAAATGCAAACAAGCAACAGCTACTTCAAACTGAGAAAAGATATTTCACAGAAGTGACTTCTACATAGGGAAGTATGTGAATCTTTTCATTAGTTTATTACATGCTCACTGAATCTACATGCAGCAGGAAGAACCAGTTTTGTCTGGGTTCCTCTCCATGATGTATACACAAGGCAAAACAAATAGAGAGGTTCAAGTCTGGGTCATGTGTATATTTAAAAAGAGAGAAAGAAAAGAAGAAGGATGTTCAAAGCAAGACCAACATAAAGTGTAGTCTACAACAAGATTTTATTGGGGAAGGGAAAAAGAAGCTATGTAAAGGATATGTGTGTTAAATATTTTTCAAATACTTTGAAATATTTTTTTCTCAAGGTATGCAACCATATACACTATGTTTCCAGTCTTCTCCTTAGTGTTGGATCAGGATGTGAAACCAGAAATGGCACTGCTATATCCAGAACTTTACAAAGACCTTACTAAGGTAGAGTGTTTGCATGTGGGTGGGTGGCTGACAAGTTTTTACCTATAGGAAATATACTGGATAGAGGCAGGACACATACCTGAAAATATAACTCTTGAAATTTGCTCTTGTGTTTACACCAAGTACCATCATTACTTTTGTACAATTATTACTCTACATTTCTAGGGAAATGAATTCACTCAATTTAAGGTGCTTTTCAATATGCTTACTGTGAGATGTGTACATTGTGGCACCACTAAATAAATTTTTTATTCAGTGTCATTCCACAAACTGAAAAGCACTAGTAGAACTCCACTGAAACAATCTATTCTGCAAACTGTTGCCCATTACATTTGCACAAGCCCATAACTTTGTAGAAAGTTATGTGCAACACATTGTTTAATAGGTTGTGTTAGCATAATTCACCCACACTTCCGGAAATATGTTTATGTAAATGTCATTTTTAATTCATCTACTGCACATAATTTAGGACCTAGTTTCCTCTAGGAAAATGCCATTTGCACTAACAGAATGACACAGCTGGATACTTTCCAAAGTCACACATCCTTTTTAATTTGATTTTTATTTGAGAATTATTTCACTGGCCTTCAGTCTTCTGGATCTGCTGATATTACTCTTTATTATATAAGGGTGAAAATTAACATCACATGGGCAGAAGCCTGCTTGCATAGTGGGACATTTTCATACTTTCTTCCCTTCTAAAGCCCCCTCCTCCACACACACACCACCTGAAAAACTGCTTCAAAGGATACCCCAACCTCAGGAGCAGATCTGGAGGGCATGCAGAAAGGGGAATTTTTCTCTTCACAGAAGCTATGTCAGTACAAAAATTGAATTGGTTTTCACCCAAAGATTGCAATTCTGTGCACAATGACTTTGAATTAAGGCCTTTAAACTCATTAGAGCTTACTTCGAGGCATGTATAGTATTGTGCTATACTCTAGTTCAGGGGTCAGCAACCCGCGGCTCTGGAGCCGCATGTGGCTCTTGAATGCCTCTGCTGTGGCTCCATCACTCGCGTCACAGCCGCTGTTGATCCGCGGCCTCTGCTGGCCCATTCACGGCCCATGCCAGCACAGCAGCATAGCCACTGCCGGCCCATCCGCAGCCGCCGCTGGCCCGTTCGTGGCCCATGCCGGCACAGTGCTTGGATAAATAAAAGAAAAGTTTCTGAAGAAAACCAAATGTTTAATGGTATGTGGGTAGATTCATTTGCTTTTACTGCTGACAGACTTATGGGGTTTGCTGTTTAATGCATGCAGCCCTTTAGCACTGACTTTGACTCTGCAGGAAGCTGTTCTCCTATTCAAAATATATTAAAGGAGTCCTACTAGTTTATAATGTAAGATTAAAAATAACAGTTGTTAGTGACTGAACAAGAGCAATTATAATCAAAAGCAAAGAGTTCATTGAGAGCAGCTTTCTTAATTGTTATCTTACCTTTCTGCATTTGCATACATATTTATCATTGAACTCCTTTAACATTCATCTTCAAGCAACAAAACTAAAGAAATCCTTAACACACTTGTGGCAGCATTGCATGATTTTTTTTGCAAGCGAATCTGTAAAATTCCATTTTTGCCCTGTTGTGTGTAACCCTTTCAGGTTGTTGCTCCAAAAATAACAGTTTTGTGGCCCCGTGGGGGACATTGGTGCCTCATTCTTCCCACCCCTGCCTGCCAAAATGTCTTCACCATGTCGGTTTATTTATTTATTTATTTATTTATTTATTTATTAAAACATTTTTA